CCATGCCTGTCCTTCCAGGTGGCTCTGACTGGTTCAAACCAAACTTTTTGGCTAGAAGTCAAACATTTAAGCTTCTGTGCCACCCAGGCATATGAGGATGTAAACAGAGGCCCAAAGATACAAAGCCAAGGCTTAGTCATTGAAATGTAAACAGACCATTCCAAAATGATCAACTAGCTGATAAATTCTCTTTCCTACAGTAGAGAGATAGTCCCTGGGTTGTACTAACTTAATTCCTGGGCTGCTAACTGAAACACTGAGGTCTTCAGAAGAAAAACCCGGTGATCTACTTCCAAAATGTCAGCCACTATGGGGCACAGTTCTCTGACACACGGGGTCATCATGAGTTGGAGGGTGACCCAATGACGGCTGGACATAGTATAGAGTAGAGTGAGAGAACAATGGAACGGGAGGAGAGCACGGCACAGATAAACCCAGAGGGCACCAAGTCCAGTTGACACACCTGCTGGCTTTGTGTCTGAGGAATGTTCTCATCACTGGGCATATTTTCCACATTCCAGATTCATAAACATCTAGCAGCGAGGGTGCAGTGCCAAGAACACTGTATGTGAATGTGACTATCAATCCCAACTCTGCAATGAGCAACTCTGGACAAGTCACAAGCCACTCACGGTTCCCTCGCCATACCATACAAGGTCGTGGTGAAGATTCAATGAGGTAAGAATACGAAACTGTTGAGTTCATGTTGGTAAAACATAGCACAAACATGGGGTGAGAAGTCTGCATGGGGTGTTCTTTCTTTCTCTATTGTATGTTTGTTTAACAAACCCTCTATTGTTAGGCATGCAGGTGGCTTCAGAGTTTTTATTTAAACAATGCTGGTTTATTTCAGGAACCTCATACATTCTTGAACCTGTCTTCGGGTATATCTGACCAATTGTTTCTCTAGCATAAATTTCCAGAAGTAGAAAAGCAAGACCAAGTTTTTAAAGCTATTTCTTCCCAAATTGTCCTCCAGAAAACCCATAACAATTTCCCCCATGAGGCCAGGATCAGATTCCCTGGCCTCTTGCCTAGAATGAGACTAACAATTTTTTAAAACTTTTTAACCATGTGAAAGGTTAAGAATGGTATCTTTCTATGGGAATAAGAATTTCTTCTATTACTAATAAAACTGAGTATGTTAACCTATGTTTATAACTCTTCTGGGAATTTCTGTTAACCTTTGTAACACATATTACCATTTGCCCTTTTCTTAATAATTTGAGAGAGGCAAGTTTTATATGATAACTATCATTCCTTCAC